CTGTAATTTTTCGATAATTGCACACTTCAAACGGACAGATTATCATACGAAGGAAATATTCGGATTATCGTCATAAAATGCAAATTTTCTCTCATTTTTGCCGTTTCTATGTGTGAATGGCCCCAGTGGTGTAGGAGTTAGGAGCGAAAAACTGCGCTCTCAATGTGAGTTGGGCAGCGCAAATTGCCGAAAGTCCGTTTTGAAACAGTCGCGCAACTTTTTTGTTGCTTAATTTGACCAATATTGCCCCACCAAAGCGGTAATTTAAGTTCTAGTCATAAAACGAACAAAACGTGCCGCATTTGTTTGGCACGTGCCCAGTACAACCGTTTTCCATTGCGGAGTTTCCAATGGAGAACCAGTATTAAAGCGATAACAAAGACTGGCATCAGTATTTAACTAAGTTTTTTTTATTATTGTTTCGTTATTGATTGAATTCTTTATTAGTTTGTTTTTGGGCGGCGCCCCTTATTCAGTGCTTTTCTGTCGAATAAAACTGGCCCTTTTTAGAGGAGTTGTGGCCGTTTTTCTCGCCCCCCCATCCCAGTAAAACACCGATTAGAAAACAACGTACAAAAGTTTTATTGGCCTAATTAATTGTCATTTAAATTGCCGCCCAGCGGAAAAGTTAGTGGGTGAAGTTCTGGCAAATGGCCTGGAAGTTCTGGATGAAGTCGTCGATTTCCGGATGGTGGACGATGTCGTTGTGGCCGAAACCGTAATCCGCCGAAATGCCCTGGAAGAGCACTGGGCCTTGATGGGGCTCGCGCGTGTCTTGCGCCACTTGAGCCAGGGCTTCGCCCAGTGAAAACGAGACAATCATGTCGTCCTCGGCATGCAGAATCATCACCGGACAGTCTATCGATTGGATGTTCTCCTTGGAGCGGAAATGGAAGCCGTTGGTGGCCAGAGGCCGCAGGATTGCGGCCTCAAAGTACGCCAACCAGCTGAACATCCTCCCTAAAACCATTGTGGAGACCACGTCCTCCAAGGAGGTGAACGGGGACTCCAGGATGAGTCCAGTTGGGGAGATGGAATGCTGTTGGTTGAGCAGCTTTAGAGTGCGGGCGCTGATGCCGCTCCCCATTGAGTGTCCCCAATAGTAAACATCCCTCTGGGGGTTGATGGACTTGATCCATTGGAAAATCTGCACATGATCGTGCGCCATTCCTTCTTCGCCCATGCGGACGTTGCGGCCGGAGTCTCCGTAGCCTCGATGATCGATGGCCACCACTAGAAAGTGCCTCCTCAGCACCCGATACTGCTCCAGAGCCTTCGCTCTATTGGCCAGCACGCCGTGGAGATACACCAGAATGTCCTTTTGGGTGTTTTGGAGGATTTCCGTCACATTGCTGCTGGCGGAGGAGCTGATTTCGTCCTCGGGCAGCAACATCCAGGCTCCAATGCTGGTCCAAGTGTCGTTCTGGTAGTAATCCCGAGTGGAAATGTGGAAATTTCGCACTCCTTCCAGCCCGAAGGACTCCGGCCGGTCAAAGTCCGCGTTCCTCGGGGAGTCGATCGGGACGAAGACCATAAAAGTCTGGAAGGGCAGCGACAGCATGAAAGACACTGGGATCACCACCCAGACGACCATGAAGGCCCCCAGAAGGCTCAGCAGCAGAACCAACGCACTTCGGGCGACGGTTTTTCTGCAGGTGCATCTCCGAAGGGCCGTTTTATCGGTGGAAGCGCTCAAGTCATCCCCTGTTAGCAGCTGGATTGAGTTGGATCGCTGCAATCGGTCTGGATGGTTTAATGGTCCTTGCAAATCTTTTGGAACTGGTCTTACCTTGCGCGAACACCCACAACCCATGTTACTGGCTCACACTTAACTACGCTCTCAATGAACTACGAGTGTAATTAATACGAGCCGAGGTGTTTGCTTGGAGGATTACCGCTCACAGTTCCAGATAAAAGATAATTTTGCCTCGTAATTGTTAAAAAAAACGCACACAAACATACAAATTAGCAGAAATTTGCTGAAGTAATATTTGCTAGACGATTTGACTGGATTTGCGGTTCAGTGGGGAGAACAGTCGTGATTTTTTCCTGGAAACGTGCACTAAGAAGTGAGAGAAGAGAAAAGCGCTGTTGGGCTTTGTGTATTGGAAAATTGCAACAATTTCCAGCAAATTTGGCATCAAAAATGGATCAGAATTGAGAATTTTTAATGAATTTTTATCCGAAAATAATCAATTCTCAATTGCGATTCGTTTTACGGGGCAAATTTGGGTTTATTTCGGGAAAAACTGGATTGTTGGTGAAAACTCACTATAATAATTCGCTCGTTTTGCCTCAAAACTGGTTTATTTGGACTAATATCCATGTATTTGCCTTTTAAAGACGGAGAGTTACACATTTTTTGCACGACTTGGGCATGGAATGTTACAAAAGTGGCAATCAATGCCAGAGTTTGCTTAAACCAGCAATAATTTGCGTAAATTTCACTGAGCAAATGCAGAGTGGCGCGTATGTTTTGGGACAAACAATAACCGGAATTCTACCGTCTTAATTGTGACTGATTTATGTGAGTCAGTCTAGCAACTATCTGCTTACGCACGCTGGCGTTATCGAAAATGAGTAAACAGTTTTTTTGTTCCAGAATCTGGTTTGCTGTTCGGCTGATGTTCTCGAAGGCAAAGGACTAGTTCAAGTGGCGATCACTGTGACCGAATTGCTGCGCTTTTACGGCCCGAGATCTCCCCTGCATGCAAGTGCAGTCTCAGTGGTGGTTTGAGACCAAAACGAGCTTCATGTTCAGTTAGTCGGTTTATTTTTATACGAAACATATCCCGCGGACAAGACGTTGTACAAATCGCACTTACCCTTGTATTTATTCAACTCCTAAGCGCTACTTATATATATATGAAGGTTTCTACGCGTGTCGCGCCCGACAATAATATAATCCCACGTTACTTCTTGCACTGTTCAGCTCAATTTTGTCGTTTTTCTGTTGTTTTTCTAAAATTCACTAAAACAAGTGCCAAAGATTACATTTAACTGTAGACTAGTGGTCGGTTTAGTTTAATGAAAAAATGTGGGGGGTTTCGAGTGGATGGTGGCAGGAGTTAGGGAAAAACAGGCACGTAATACTTAAGGGAGAGTGAGGGACTTAAAGCGATGCCATCGAGCTCCTTTACTGCGGTGTTTCAGTTGTGATATAGATTTCTTTTTGTGATACTGTAAGCTGTCGCTCTAGATCTTCTCCCTAGACTATCTACTAACTACTCGCTTTTGTTTGTGCGCCCCAAACTGCTGAAATGTCGGTCAACGTAAATGCAGACTTTGTGTTCAGTTCTTGTGTTATTTTACCCAATTAATTAACAAAACAGTATCTCTAGTCAACTCAGATCAATAAAGATTTTTTACGCACTTTGTAATCAAGTGATTTACTTTCGGTGAGTTCACACCTGGAATTGCATGAACGTGTCCATAAAGGCGAAGGTTTGATCGATGGCCTTGCGTTTGGCTTCCTCGTAGTCTCGGCCGGACGCCAGAATCGTGAAGGGTGTGTCGATTTTCAGTACGAAAATCGCCAACATTGGAACTTCCTGGAACTGCTCCAGAATATATCCCGTTTCCAGAGGGGTCAGGATCTTCTTCAAGGCTTCCTCCGATGGATGTTTCAGGTCCTAAAGGTCACGTCGGTTGAGCTGGGGATTCAAGCACCTACGCTCAAGTTACCTCGGCGAAGTCCTCATACTTCAAGCCCTTGAACATCATCAGTTTGGCCAGAGTTTTCGAAATATCGCTAATCTTGACCGACTTGTCAGGGACGATCTCCCGTAATTCTTGATACTGCGAAATGGCTTCGGAGTATTTAGCAGCCAAAGCGTTCGGCATGAGCTCCAGCTCCTTAAACAAATCGGGCAGCAGCTCCTTTATTCTACAAAAAATGCGCATTTACACCTGCCGTTACGTTAGTTAGTTGATAGCTACCTGATTAACATTTCTTTGGCAGCGAGTTGTTTGGCGTTTTTCTTGCTGCTGGCTTTGGCTTCTGTCGTAATGGAGGCAATTTTACATTCGTACGTGAACTCCTTGTTGTGGGGCGGCCCCACGCTGGAAATTTCCACAAATTCCGGATAGGGCATTTTGTTTTCAAGGCACAAGCCCTGTAGGTCCACTGAAAATTAATTAAGCCATTGAAATGAACGCACCGCTGATGAAAACAGAGCCGTTTCGAGAAAAAACTGAACAGTCTGCAAGCAGCTCCAAACCAAGCACGAACTTACTGATACAGTTCAGTCCTGGCCGGAAGGAACGGGAACTGGCTGATGGTAGTTCGCCTTTGAATGGTTCAACTGGGTTCTCCGCAGGATCGTAGATGCCCAGCTCCTGCAGCTGCATCAGAGCGTCATGGGCGGCCTGGTGCCTCCCCAATTGTTTGGAGGGACCGCTTCCACTCCCTCGGATCTCGCAGCCACTCCCGCGGATCCCGCACACAATCACCACAAAGTCGAACCGATTAATATGCGTCCCGGATATCTGGGAAATTATATGGTAGTCCGGAGAGCAGTAGCCCTTTTTAATGCACAGCTCCTGCAGGACCATCACGGGGGTTTTGCTGTATTGGTTCATTTTTTTCAAATAGTGTGATGCTGACGCAATGGCAAGTTGAGTGATTCGCACTGTTTGGATGAAAGTGGCTTAATGTTGATCACAGGGCTTGCGTTGCTGTTGCTAAAACAGCTCACAAAAAGCAATTCTTACCGAAATTCCCCGAGGGAAAAATTTTAGGTTATATTATGTCAAATTTGAAAGAAACTGCTGCTAGGCAGGGGCAAAGTTCGCGAGACACTCTTGGGTCGACTCAGTTTGCTCGATTTTATAGGGGATTTTTTTAAATTCTTGATCCCGATGCTGGATCTATGCCAGCATTTTACAAATTCCGGAACGAATCAACCCAGTCAAGCGTCTAGACATGAGCAAGCTCAAAGCACCGAGTAGTTTTGCTTTTGGCCTGATGAGCGACAAAGACAGAGCGATGATGGTGGTATTGATTTCAAATTGATTTTTTTGCAAAGAGTTTTCTCATGGAATAAAACTTTTTAGCGGATTTAAAACCAACTGATCATCAGCGGCAAGGAAAAGAAAAACGATTATTTGCCTCTGCTAATCGTCGCTGACCCAATTAAGTGCTCGAAATTAACGGAAACTCATGAAACCCAATCTACTTTCCCCGGCTAATAAGGCCATCGAGTGTATGAAAATAAATTGGGATTTTTATTGTTCCGAATCCATAAAACCGTGCAGGCCCAACGAAACTATGCCTGGAACCATAAAGCGTATTTATAGATCGGGATCCGTGAGTGCATAGAGCGAAAATAAGAATGATTTCATTCAAAGTTTCAAGATAGATGTGATGACCGCAATCCCGATTCAGGACGCCCGAAGGCAAGATGTTGCCAGGGAGTTGCGTTCTTGTAATAGAGGAACTTGTATGTAATTACTATAAATAAGCTGAAATTTGCCGGCACTTTTTGCCCATTCAATTCTTGCTAATAAACCAAAATTCTTCAGTACTTGTATGAAAACTTGCAATTTTAAATTTAAAAATTCCCGCTGTTTGTTTCTTTTCCAGTTAAATACTGTTGATTTCTTGAAAAAACAAGTTTTTTTTTATCGTCGTCTGCCATTTTCCCGTTGGGAAAGGTGGTTTTTGCGGAAAAATCTCAATTTTTCATGCGTTGGTGTTTGCCGGCATCCGAAGCACTGCGACATACGAACTATCAGGGCAGCAGAATTTCAACATTTCCAAGATTTTTTGTACTCTTTCGACCGCGTTTGCAGAAGCATTTGAGATGGACATTCACAAAATAAAGAGCACTTTGAGCTGATTTGTGAGCGTAAAGTTGCCAGTAGTGCAGATTTTAGGGATGATAGGGATTAATTTGACCCTAACGTCTACTCCACTGTGCGCACTGGCGATTCTAAGGCCTCAGATGAAAGGCCACAGTTTTCTGCTCAAAAAGATCCTCTTAGTCCAAAGCTCTAATTTTGGCCGTTTCGGAAAAAAATGCCCATTTATGACGATAGTGGATACTACTTTTGAAATAGTGTTTTTTATCATAAAGTCTCGTTTTTTGGGCAAAACGCCCCATTTTTGCGCCTTCCACAAAGAGTACTTTTTTCTGCAGAAAACATTGGCCTTTCAAGTGTCACTGTGAATTTTATGATTTTCCTCAGTGGCGTAGGTACTAATCCTGGATAGGAGCTTTGCAGTGCGCTCAGGTTTTAAACTCGAATATTTCCGGGATTTTTCGCTTTTTCGCCTAAATGGTGCCAATTTCCTGAATACTCAGGATTCTTTTGTCGTTTTGGGGCATTTTCCCATTTGAAAACTTGTTTTGTTGTGAATAAAACGCGATTTTTCTGCGTTGACGACAGAGGCCTACTAGCTAGCAAGGCCGGAAACTTTTGGGATTAAGATCGGTCTTGGGGAGATTTTGCACATTTTGTGGACTTTTAAAGGGTTTCTCAGTCTTGAAGAGGGAATCTCATTTTTTAGATACAGTTTTTGTTAAATTCCAACTTCTTAAAGGAGCGAGTGGGTTTATTTTGCTTTTAACCCTTAGTCCACTGAGCAAATTGGCGATTTGAAGCGCTCATACGAAAGGCGACAGCCTTCCACTCAAAAAAGCCCCCTTCGTCAGAAGCGCTAATTTCAGCCGCTTGGGAGAAAAGTCGCATTTTGCCCCACTAAAGCAAGCGACTATTTCCCTGATACTTCTCACGAAAAACTCAATTTTTCGCCAAAACCGTCAACATTTGGGGCTCAGACTAAGAGTACCTTTTTTCTGCAGAAACCCTTGGGCTTTCAAACGGTGCTTTCAAATTTCCATTCGGCCCAGTGGTGTGCAAGTTAGGAGCAAAACCAACCAGCCGAAGACTGCGCCCTGAAAACCGTAGATAAAGACGAGCTGAAAACCCACCCTCATCGAGCAAAATTGGGGTGTTTGGACAATTTGGCGGCGCTGCTCCGCAGGAAATATCCGAGTCCTCGAGTGGTTCTCCATATTCGGCAACGTTGCATTTGGCGCGGCAAGCACATGTGTTTCAACTTTTGAAAAGTTCTCCTCCGGCTTCGGCGGGCATTCAGTTTGGTGCCGCGGCAGTTGTGCTTGACATAAAGCAGCTTCTTTGGTCCATTTCAGTGCGATCTCTTCGCGTTTCAGTGCCATCCTACGTGAGCATGATTTGTAGTTTGTGAGTGAGGAAGACATCCGAACGTTGCGAACCATGGCGAACCTGCCGAGACCGCGCGCCCACCCAAAACTCCTGTTTGGCCTGGTTTTTTGCGCCCTTTTGCTCCCTGCCCTAACAGACGTGGCTGCAGACTCTCAGGTATTTCAGCCCATCTTTCAGGACTTTCAGAGAGAAATTGCCGCTCTAATTCAAACCAGCAAAGTGCATTTTAGTATCGAAGTTGGTGCGCTTTTCTCCCTGTTTTTTGGCTGGGTTTGGCAGGTTTTTGCCCTTAACCTGATTGCAAAAGGTGTTTCCTCGCTGAAGCAGAGTTCAAAAAAATTGATAAATCGCTGTTTAATCTTGGCTTTTAATATGGTTGGCTGGGGAAAAAACCGCAGGTTTATGTGCGGTGTAAACCCAGACAGTGTCATTTGGAACCAGCGGCCTGAAATTGACAACTTTAGCCGCCCCTCATTGGCCGGCGCCTGTTTTGGCTACGTTTAACCGGGCGAAAGCCGTCAACCAGAACGGGCCCTTTGCAATTTTTTCTGGAAAAAACGCCAGAAAATCTCCCACAGCTTATCTCTGAGCCGAAAAAATTCCAATTTTTAGCCGGTTTTATTCAACGATGGATTAGTTAGTATCTTATTAACTGGCGTAATCTTTATCGTGTCTGATAAGATTGTGGCCACTAATTTTGTGTAAGAATGTAAGGACTTTGGGGCCTTTTTTGGCACATTTCTTGTGCAAGGTTCCCTGAACCGTCCAGGTCGCACATTTTCCGTTTCAAGGTTCCATCTGCTATTTTTAGCCTGTATGGTTGTTAATTGCCTCTGGCCATGGAACCTGCGGTTCACTTTTTTTTCTGTAATTTAACGCAATATCTTCAACAGGACGAAAGCGATCCAAATCGTGCCCGTATTTTATCTGGAGTGCATTCTAAAAATAGCGGAGAATTCGTAGCAATTGTTGTTTTTTTCGCGCTCTAATCCAATGTTCCATCCTGCACAGCGTCCTCGATTGTCATCATATCTTTTCCATTAAATAACTCATACATATTTATAAAAGTTTCCTCGCTCGTTAAGGCGGCCTTTAAACGGATTGATTGACCGTTCACATGAATTACTGACCTAAAATCGTCGATTGGTAATGATTATCTGAGTTATTAGTATGCCCTCCTCTAATGGAATCAAATCTACTTCAATTAAAGCTCGAATTGGGAGTTGACTTGCATAATGGTGCTTAAAATCGGGCACAATCCAATGCTGATGGGTATGTTCGGAGCCACTGTAGGGGCATCAAAATGCATCGAAAATAACTACTTTCAACGACAAATTTACAGGATTTTGCTCACATTCGGCTTGGTTAATTCGTCAGTTATCATTTAGAGCAAAAATGCCGGTTTCGCATATGCATTTGCAAACCCTTTCGACTTTGAACGCCTTTTTAAACTTGTGGGTTTTGCACCATCTTCTTCTCAAGCTGGTTTCTCACTAACCAGTCGTGATATCGGAAGATGGGTTCGAGGACTCCATCAGGAAAGCCTCGATCAGCATGTGATGCAATTTTGGTTTAATTCCCAGAAACGGTTTCTGTATAATATCGTTTTAAGCCTTTGCGTTTTGCGCGGTTTTTCATTTATTGAACCCGGTTCTTATCAGGCTGGTTCCGGAGGGTCTAGTGGATATATTGAAATAGGGATTATAGCCCTTGACAAAACAAGCTTTTATTGAAGCGAGGTGAAAACATGGTTCCACTCGGCCCATTGGCTCCTTGATAACGAATTTTTAAACTTCCAGAAGTTTTAGCGCGGGTTTCCATTCAACCACTATGCGCTTCGAAAGCGGTTCTTTGAAGAACTGGTTGAGATATGCGAATGGGGCCTTTTGAATTCGATAGATAAAGAACCAGTTGATGTTTGGCATGAATTGCGTTCTATTGGAGAACATGGTTTCTTCATTTTGAATTTTTAAACTATGCGAGGATTTAGCGCGGATTTTCAATTATACGCCATGCTCTTCTAAGGTTGCTCTTGGCAGAACTGGTCCTTAAATCGCATTTCTGTCCCGAGATTCGATAGACAAGACATCAATGAATGGGTGCTTCGAATTTTGCTCTATTCCAAAATATCGTTTCTTTAAAATGAATTTTTTAACTTTGAGAGGTTTTGGCTCGGTTTTTGTGT